TATGACATATGATACAAAAAAGGGTTAAAGGACAAATAAGTCTGGAAAGGGGATTTATCTGACTAAAATTATAGTCACCGTAGCAGTGCAAGGGTTATCACAGTGTTTTTTTTTCTGTAAACATAGTTTCAGTCGGAAGCTTTTGATAGTAGTTCCCTTAGAAAAAACGAATTAATCGACGATGTTCGTCTATGCATTATTTCGAACTCCTTAGGTATGGCCACTCTATATGCACTATCTATCAAGTGCCTAGAGTAAAATGTAACAAGTAAACAATATGTTCACGAATTGTGCATTAAGCTATCGGAAAAGTTGGATTTGTGAAACGATTACTATGACAATGACACGACTTCAGTTCTCAAAAGATGAACGTCTAATACGGACTTAGTAACTCAGCAATTATTGACTGGATAAAAAATGTGACTATGTTTAATCGTCTACTGTAACAGTTAAGATATAAAGGTTTTTGTACACAGACTATTGACGATCAGGCTTGAAAAATCTTGTACAGTATATTGACTTAGAGCTCTTCAGATCTACACAGATGTAAAAGTCAAGAATGCAGATACATTAGTTAAATATCAATCAGCCATCCTTGTCATTTCCTTTACTTTGAGCTTTTGATATTGTTTAACAGAAATGATTTTAGATGCTGTGGAACTGTCAACAGAAATATATGGCTTTCATAACTAACTAAAATTTACTAGAAACTATTGAAATTCACAACATTACTGACTTCAACTACTAGACTGTTAAAAAAATACTGCCAAGATCTTAAAATGCAAAACATTCGCTATAAAATTTTGGAAATTTTTACCAGATGATTTATAAAAAAAAATATTAGACTTTCTTAAGTATTTAACTTTAAATCAGTTATGTAATGAATGACTTTAGTAGGCGAGAAAATTCATTGTGTGTGTGTGTGTCTGTGTGATATATTTCCATTTTGTGTCAGACAAAAGTACACAAATTAATAGACATAAAATGAAAAAGGCTTTTTTTGCACACAATTGTCAAGATGCCAATTGCTATTCGTTAGAATGCGGCAAATAATTCTACATGATTTTCTATAAAAAAAAAACATGCAACAAAGTTAGCCAGTGGGACTACTATGTTTACTAACTTCCTTATAATTAGATTTTTTCAAATACTAACTCAATTTGCATTCGTTGACTGCATTTTTTTCCTGATTATCGGATAGACCTGCGTTCATATCTTAGGACTGGAAAAATATATATATATATAAATATAATTTTTATTTTATTTATCATTTATCTTAACTATGTAGTGTATCAAAAACATTTACAACATACAACCGACCTCCACATGTAACTACTACATAGTTTCGAAATTAATTTTGCTACAAATTAACATTCTGTTAGTTAATGGGGGGTGGGGTGGGGTCGGGTGGGGTGGGGGAAGATTCTTCGACACAATCATTATAACACAATAATAATAGAACATTTCCTAATTCTTTATTCTTTATATCTATAGTTATTATCAGATTGTATTAAATCTGCTGTTTCTTTGCAAACATGATTTTGCGAATAAAACAAATCATTTTTTTAGAAACATTGCATAGGATTCGGCTAAGAAATAGAAAGATATTTTATCAGGATCAGTTAAACCAGATGTTAATACAACATAACTTAATTATTGCCTCATATTGTTTTATTTTTATAATTTTGAAATCTAACCCCAGTGTATTTTGTTATTTTAGCGATAAAAACTAATGATATTCCAGTTAAATTGACTAGTCAGTAATCGATCACTCAGTTTAAATGGGTGCGAAATGAAAATAAAAAATCTATATCATTAGCACTTTTGAAATACGCTGCATTTTGATCTCTTTCAAACATCAAAGATGATAAAGTAAGCAGTAGCTCAAATCACTATGACGCATAAAAATTAAAGAATTTCGTTTAAAAAACTGTATCTGCCTACATTTTGAAACTGGAGGTCAATTGTGCACGTTTTACACATTTTATTGGTGAACGAAATGTTGACCTCGAGTAGCGAAACAAATAGTAATATTAGTCTCTTTTCTAACATATCAGATAAACAAAACAAATCTTATTCTATCCACCTAGCTATTAGTTAAAATTATTAACAAATAATCGCTACTTGTAACTAGATATCATACACATACTATTGATAACCAAAATATTTATCAGAATTACAGAGCTGCCTGCGACTTCACACGAATCATACAATAAAGATGGGTTTAAACTACATGAGACCACAGAAGAATGCAGTTTAATTAACTTCTACGATAATATAAGCAGACACATTGTAGTGAAGGAGAACACAGGTGAGGGAAGCCGAATTGTATTTAACGAAAATTACAGAGTTACTCAGTAAAATAGGAAAACCATATCGTAAATCGTTAATTTGCAAATCTTCAATCCATCATCAATCCATTGTCTGACATTTCACTCACTATTCATGCGTTTCATACAAATTCCATTGTGTTCTAACTCTTCCTTTCTTGATCTTCCCCCATCTTCTTCCTGCCAGACATTACGTTTACACTCGCGTCATATACTACTTATAAGTAGCGCGCACCACAACATGACCAAATCAACTGCCCAATGCTTCCTAGCCGGCTTAATTAATAAAATCGTTTCGTTACGTAAACTACCGGATACAATATTTTCCATAAACTTCTGGTAATGATTTGGAAAATAACTACAGACTATAAGTCTGCAAAAATGTACCATATACGCCGTTAGCTTACAAGACTATAGTTTTACATGATGTTTTCATCATTTTCCGACAACTTTAACAATAAATGAAATCAATAAAAATTTCATCAGAAAACTTTCTGTTGCATCCGGACATAAGAAAAACAAACAATATCAACTGCATCTTATTACATATTCGCAGTGATATGCTTGTGTAGTACTTTGTTTTGATTATAATGTGAGTCTTAGTAAATAGTGTCAATCAGTTAGTTATAACTGCAGTGAGTTTCATATCTTGACTTTTAAATAAGTATTTACAAGAGTTTTATCAGAGATTGTTCTATTTAAATTGTAGATAGGTTAGTGTCAATCTAAGCGTATATGAATAAGTTTATTTTGTCTGAGATATAAAATCTTTGATATTCTTCCGGTTTACATTTAGCTCCAACTGTGTAAATATCAATAACTGCCCTTAAACTTTTGGCTTACTTTACGATAACAGCTAGATATATCTCAAGAAAAATGGTTCGTAAGGTGTATTAGGTTATAAAAAGACAGATTTACATAGTAGTTGAGATAGAATGTACATTGAAGAACTTTCTACGTCGATCTGACAAACGAATCCTATCTCGGTTAAACGAAAATCTTCGCACATAACTTTTACGTTAACTGAATGTAAGTCGTTAGCCCTTACTGTTGAAGTAGTAACAGTTAGGATATATGCTCATTCTTATTCTTCACTGAAAAAATTGCAATTTCACTTAAAGTCAAGTACTGTCGAATAGACTGGCTCCAAATATCAGCTTTTCTTATTTAGATGATATTAGTATCGCATGGCATTTTGTCTGTACAAAAATCTAAACAAATAATAAGTTTTCAGCCCGAAATGAGTAGTCTACTCTTTTGAAGTTTCCATTCGTAATAACTATTTCTCCTTGATCTCAACTAACAAATTAGCCCATTATCACAAACATGTGATATTATAATTGGTGGGTAAATAGAATTTGGGCTTGCTAAGAATCTAATATGGAACCGGTTTCCCTGCTGTTATATAACCATACTAAATTTTCAGTTAGAGCTTTCGAGATTTGTGTTTTCGCACATTTGAAATCATCAATCAATCATTGTTAGACCACCATTAGAAACCTGGAAGCACTGGACTGCCGTTTCGTCCTGGTATGGGACTCATCAGCAGTGCGCATCTACGACTCCTGCACCTCGCAGGATTCGAACCCGGGACCTTCGGTATTGTGCGCCAACGCCTAACCTCTGGACGACTCGGCCGGAATCCGACGGTGTCATCTGTTCCATGGTCTCTACCTTTAGGTATAGTAGTTAAAAATCTTCCAGTGATTTATATTTTCGCTGCATTCACGAAGTACGCCTTATTGTCCTAAAAAAGTGTTTTTATTAATCTCTGAGTTATGGGGAGTTACTCATCATCTTTGGCCAAACCAGTTTGCGATTAATTGATCAACCCTATTGTCTGAGGCTTCCATGTTGCTATTGATAAATGAATACTGTAATTCACTCATCCAACTATACAGCAATACTCCCCTCGACCTTCACCTGAACGACCCATCACAAATCATGAGAATCTCAATTGCAATAGACTACGGTCAAACAGTATGAGGTCCATGCTTTTGATTTGTTACAATATCTTCAAGCCTTCTGTTTCAATGTATCGAACTTAGGAACTTGAGAATGTTACCAGAAGTATACATAAGAATTCTGACTTATTCATTATGATAATAAAAAGATAAGCTGAAATTTATTAGTACAATACTTAATATTTAACATGAACCATCAAGAATCCTGATTCAGTGAAGTATTTACTAAAGTTCCTATTACAAATCAATGCTATAATATGTTAACAGTTCTTTTTATAACTTTCGAACAAGTAATGGTTATTATCATTTATGATATACTGCAGTCTAATATGACCAAATAAGTGATGATCAATTTTATAAACTTAAAAAATTTCTTAGCTACCAGATCCCTCTGTCGTAATATGATATAACGATGATAGTTTAAAATAGAAAGATTAATTAGAAAGCATCCTAGCAGAATAGTAACGACAATGAATTTACGTATACCAATAAATAATGCAACAAACTGAATCCTACTGACATATTCATTTAAAAACAGAAAAATATGAATCGATTTATCATGCACTAAACTTGTTTGTAAGTTTCTTGTCTACTTAACTCCAACTGATGGATTGATAAAAAAAAACACAACTCACTATAAATATAAAAAATATTCTGGTTGTACGGTAGAAATAAGTAAAACGTTAAATAACAACAATTAACTTACTCGTTTCTTCTCTTTAATTCGCATTTCTTCTACTCCTTTAATTGACTCTCCAGGTGTTTTACGATTCCATAACCTAACACTAATATATCCATAGGTTGATGTTTGTATACCCAATGGGATGATGTAGATTACTAGGAATAGTACAACTGTATAAATTGAACGTTTATAGTCATCACCATTCCATGATTCTTGGCATAATTTACGATCGGTTAAATAACCTTCTTGTCCTTCTATTTGATTTGAATTTTGTCCTTGTCTTTGTGTTCTAGTTGCAAATAGTTGTACTGTACTTCCGCTAAATGCAATTATCCATATACTAATTATGATACAAATAGTCAATGATTTTTGATGTCTACTAGGCCAATAATCAATTCTAAATGGACTTATTATACCAAATAATCGGTTAAGACTAATAATTGTATTAGTTAATGATGAGGCTGTCACCATAACCAATTGTACATAAACAACAAGTGGACACATTAAATCAGGAAATGGCCAGTTATGTAAATAAATTTGTGTGAATGTAAACGGGATACAAAAAAGACCCATAAATAAATCAGATATTCCTAAACTGGCTAAATAATAATTAAATGCTGCATTCATGTAAAATGTTTGCTTATGACTGGTATTTCTTGTAATATGATGCAAATGTTTTGGTGCTTTTTCTATTGAAGTGTCCAAGTTCTTTTTCAACAAATTCATATGGTGGTCATAAGTACCTCGTGTAGTATTGAAATTTTCGTCAACCTGACTGTTTGCTAATGACTGTGGATAGTGTTCTGAATTTGAATCTACTTGCTTTTCACTACTGATAAACGATTTCATCATAGTAGCATGTTTAATGCTGAAGTTTTTACGTTTACGCAAAAATATATAAATTGCTATTGTATTGCCAATGAAAGACGATAACATAGTGATGATATACACTGAAAATACTAAAATACTAAGGAAAATTGATGTTTCATTTTTATGAATGATAATATAATTCCCATTTTCATTGCTAGCCATGAAATCTCTAGTAGCATTATTAATATGTTGGATAGAATTTGTGCTCCGGTTGTCAAGTTGACTGCTCTCATAAAGTGAAATGAAATTATTCATGTTTTCTCACAAAACAAAAAATACGGTTCAAGCAGTCAACTAACCTGTTAAATATTCCGTTTTCTAAATGATATAAATAGATAATCTTGTGAAGTATTTTAACTGGTCAGTTTCTGTGTTATTCACGATTGGCCAATGTACACTATGCATAAATAATTACACTATAAATTTTTACCAAACTATTTGCATTCAAGGAAAAAAATACAAACTATGTCTGTGATTATAGTTAACGAAAAGATTCATAAAAACTGTGAAACGCAATTTTCATCAATCAATGAGAATATCAGATATAATCTTTAGGCAGTAATCTACTGAGTATCAAATAAAAGTGTTTTTATTAAATATTTTACAATGAAATGTTTTCCCGAAAACTTCCATGTAATTCCAGGATTTATTTTCTAACTGATTGTTGCGAAATCTGCAAAATGATGAATGAATGTGATATTAAATCATTTATTTTTCCAATTACTTAATATCATTCTATCTTGTTCCTACTAATTTTCTGCCATCATTTTATAACACGATTCGTTTACAAGTTCACGATTTCAGAAAGTATGGATTATTATTGTGACTCTTTTGTTGATGTTGTTCTAAGATACCTCTCAATTTATTTTGAAGTAATCAGGTTATATGCCGGTGACACTGATGATTTCAAAACACACAGAGCTATATTCATTAGAATATGCTTGCTGAATCATACAAGTGGTATGTTCCAGTAATCAAGGATATTATCTCTAGGAGATTTTACAAACAGGAGAGAGATATTTTAAAAACATGAAGAAGTATAGTCAATTTATTTCATACCCGTCACACAATAAAGTGGACGTCTGAACTCAGTAGCTAATTGGATAAAGCGATGGCGTTTGAAGCAAACTGTTCTGTTTTCGAGTCTCGGAGCGAACATAAGCTCTCATAGGCAGATACATCAAGCTAATTTGTCCCGTAAAGGATGAAACTAGAGTCCTGGATTCCATTGCTAGCTATATTCTATCTTTTCTATATAAACGTGTCATAATAGCTTTCTCGAGACAACCGGCATCGGATGTCCATTTGCCGACCAGGACTGATCAAATTTAAGTCAAAGCATCAACAAAGAGCCAATCCAAACTATTTCAAGCTGATCAAAGTATATCGTTGTAAGGCCCTGATTTTCAAGTTTTATAAACCGGTTTTGCGAAGAGATGAGATAGGTCTTTTTATTTGTTGATACATAGTTACATAGAAAAAAAAAATTAGTTTTCATCTGAACATTTGTATGACATGTATCCCACTATGACATCGTCTTATATGTTATTTTACATGGAAAGTCCGATAAACTGCCATTGTTTACGCGAATGCATTAGTGGAAGCTGATAAACAAAGAAGTAAAAAACAAAAATAACTATGACTTTGTCTGTATTTTTTTTTAAATAGTGAAAATAGTTTTATTATTCTCTCTATGATTGACCATCATCGGGTTAAACAGTAACTTGTGAAGTTAATTTTCCATTGCACGGAATGTTTTAAAACAACATCAACTTCTCAAAAGTGTGGATGACTAGAATAAAATAAACCAATGCAGTAAGAGAAAAAGTATTGTTACAGAATAACTCCATCCACAAGAGAGGACAAAAAGTGTGTGTATTTGTGTGTGTGTGTGTGTGTGTGAAAAACAACCATCACTACTCCAAACAATTCATTGGAATTCAGAAAAGGTATTTTGCATACAACTCAGTTTTTTATTACAATCAGTTCACTAGCTGACAACATTACTAAATAAGAACTACATAGTTAAAGAATGTTTTGAAAAATTCAAACTTATCGAAGGCAAACTATAGATAAAACAAATTAGGTCTTAATCTCACACTGGAATATCTTATGTAAGGCCTTAAAATCATAATTAAAAAAAAATGAAGTTCTATTGTCTCGTTGTTCACAAATAACATTATTCATCCACTAAACAGCATTTACTGTCTTCATGAAGAATTATTACACAACAGTTCTGTTTTATAGCTCACAACACTGTTACATCGTTCTATCGCATAAAATAATCAGCTTTAAAACATGTAAATGACCAAGCTTTTTTTTCATATTCATATTCCTTTTTTTTTCTCCCATTGAGACTAATTTTTTTCCATTGATGAACAACATAATAATGCATTTCTATGCGTCATTTATGTTGTGTGTGTGGTGAATGTTTTTTTGTTAACTTACGGTGTCAATTTAGTCTCACAATATGATTTATTTGTTTTCTATTAGCTCATGAATAATTAATTAATTATCAGATACACTAATTTTGAGATGGTGGAGAGAATTTGTAGTTCAGGATGGATGATTATGGTGGTGGAGTTTCGTTCGCCGCACTAAACCAATACATCCAGCTCAGAGAATGAAACTCCATCACAATACTCTAATTTATTATTCATTGAAACTATTTTTTTTTTTTTTCATACGTCATTCACCTGTAAATCAGGCAAATACAACCTCGAATTAGTGAATTTGGATCCTGTCATTTCGAATACCATTACTATGTAAAATACCAGCAAACTTTAATTATATCCACTGACATAACTGATTTACATCGATAGGTTACAATTAAAGATAACTAATTACTGACTTGCTACAGTAGTCGATTTTTCTGTTTTCTCTTTCGAATCATTATTCCTTGTGTCATTTTGGCAGTTATTTTTTCCTTCAGTGAAACTGAATGTCGTTTAGAAGGTAATTACAACCTACTGAACAGTGTTATTGAAAATATATATCTTTATTAATTTATGCATTATACAAGTGTAGTGGAACGCTTCTACGAAGAAAATACGATTTGTGAAAAATAAACATTATTGTACTCGTTTTGTTTAACTGTAACAAAAATAATTCTTCTACTTCTTGCGCGCAACGTTCTCTTCGCGTTGCCACCATTTTTCTCTATTTGCTATTCCCCATGTAATGCCTACTGTCTCCTTCAATAAAACCTTGGACCATGGATTTATTTTGTTTTGATTTGAAAGACGGGAGCGTACGGAACATTTAGTGGTGAGCATAGTCAATCTGGTATCTTGACTCGCTCACCACACAAGTATGCTGGTTACGTGTACATTTGAAAACTTTACTGATTGTTATAAACAAATTTTCTAATCATTTCATCACATCTGAATAGGAATGATTTCACAAACATATTTAATAAGAGAGTAAAACGTACACTTAGTCAATTTACTATGATTCTGTAGCAATCACATACATATATACATTTAATACTCATTACCGATTTTATATCATACTGTTGATTGAAATAAAGCACAGAGAATTTGTTTCTTTCGAAAGAATTTTACATATATATTCCATTTAACATGCTAGAAATATGTACACCGAACGTTGTGTTTGAGTACTAATCATACATTAAAACTTATTTTACAGTCAAATATTTTTGTGAAATATAAACGCAACATATGAAAAAAATCATTATGAAATTTATGAATCGAAAATGCATAGATCTATGCTACAAAAATAAAAAGGTTTGTTTAAATTGACTGACGTACATTCAAACAGAAGGTTAGTTATTGTCAACAAAAAAAAATAAGAATCACAAAAAGATTAAAGCGAGGACACACAAACGACATAAAATGTCTCTATTACATGTGACATTTTCTGAAAAAAAAAACACAACAATAATAAATACATCTTTTTGTATATCATATATGAATATGAATAATATCAAAGTAATAAATGGTCAGGAGTTTGAATAATAGATGTAATATCTGGATAGAAAAGAGGCGGCTAAGGTGAAATTGAGACAAAAGAAACACTAGACTACTAGGATAACCACAATGCAAAGGTTTGTTACGACCTTTCTTAAGGTAAGTACCATGGAGAACAACTGTAGAGAGATTAAAAGAGCTGTAACTTCAACAAGTCATGAGGTTTGGGGCCACAAGAACCATCATCACAAGGAATGGATCTCTATTGATACTTTGGATAAGATTCAAAAATGGAAGAACAGGAAGACATCAGTCAATAACATTTGAACAAGAGCTGAGAGAGCCAGGCCACGAGCCGAGTACACAGAAGCAAGCAAGCTGGTGAAAAGGGGTTAAAGCTGATAACGGGAAATATGTGGAAGATCTAGCAACGACAACAGAAAAAGCTCCAAAATTTGGAAGCATAAGACAGCTATATGACACAACGAAGATACTCGCTGGAAAATGACATAAACCAGAAAGACTAGTGAAGAGCAAGGAAGGCAAAACAATCATCGACACTGAAGAACAGTGAAACTGGTTGGTAGAGCAATTTTAAGTGCTGTTGAACCCACCTGTTTCATTAAAACCCACTCAAAAACGAAACAGCGCGTACGGATTTATCTACTGATGTTGACCCACACAAAAGCTAGAGAAAGCAGCATGATCATCAGGCAAATAAAGAGTGGCAATGTAAGTCAGTAAGCTACAACCTAGAACATCGTAAGTACGTACAACAGTTCAAGTTGCAATACCAAATTAACTCAGAGATGCAATTTTCCATTCAAATCAGAGGTAGTAAAGTATTAGAGGTAATAAAACAATTAGGGATCGAAGACATCATTCGTGAATTAAAATCCAGTGAAATAAATTTAAAATGAGTAGGATAAAGGTGATGAGGAATTCGGAAGATTAGAATTTGAAAGAAGACAAAGGATGGATGCACCTGCGCGATTGCAAATGACTTTCAGTGATATCATTCAAAGTCCCTTTTGTCTCACAGACCCAAACCAGGCAGTCTACACCTATTAACATGGTTCAGTTCAGTTGTCAACGACTTCATGGATTTGTACCATGTGTTGGTCTGACCGACACAAGCTTTCTTCCAGCCTACCTCTACATCACAAAACATCGCTTTTCGAGGCAGTGGTTGGTTAGGTATACGTGGTACATTTATCAAACACCCCAACTAGTAAAGATTCATTACTCCATCAACTGACTGAGTACAATCAAAATTTCAAATTAATTAACACTGCATACTTCCTCTTCAAACATACTGATTATCAA